TATTTTGCCTACACTCAAATATAAATGTGAAGAAGTTATTGGTGGCTATAATTATCCCTCCTGTCCTCACTGACTGAAGAGATCTTGTTTCCACAGTGATTCTAGTGAATGCGACGGGGGGATAAAGTCTACCGTTCGTGTCCTGTGCAAAACATGAGGCCGAAGCTAATGAGACCTCAGCAGGTTGAGCCGCTGAAGTCAAATCAAGTAGAGATCCTCCGTGTTTACAACCTCACCTGGCCAAAGTGAAACAGCAGAGCAGCTCTGAGCTTCACTGCTGCAAGGTCACACACTGTTTAACAAGATCACCTTCTGGGCCGCGACGCACAAACACAGTCTAACTAATTAGCTTTGCATTAGAGAGCGATGTTACTGGAACAGCACAGTTTAAGTGGGTTAATGGGAACCAGAGGTAAGATGCTTCCTCCTGACCCCCACCGCTGTTCAGTCACTTTTCATTTCAGGTCTTTTCTTGGGAAATTAGGAGGTCAGGGGGGGCATCTTACCCTGGTTTACCCCTACCACTTAAATGTTAGTTGAAAGATCTGTGTGTGTGTGTATGTGTGTGGTGGTGTTTTGTGGTGGCAGTGGTGTTCTTATTTAACAGAGTGTTATTTTGCAGCAGTGAAGCTCTGCTCTGCTGCTTGGGCGTCGTCTCAGATCCACTTGGGACTGAGGCGGCTTGATGCTGACAGCGGGCAAATAAAATAAAGTGGCTGCACCAGGCGCATGGGCAACTGTCCATATGATACAATGGAAACATCATTTTTCCAGTCCATACTGGCCCTGAAGTCATTCTCATGTGATTCCAATAGAAGAGATCAGAGGGGGAAAAGCCACTGTCAGTATTAAGACTGAAGAAAGAAAATATGTCATGGGTAAACAAAAAAAAAAAGTGTGAATTCTGCTCTAAAAACATAAACGATCGGGACACCACTGTAGCTCAACTGGTTGAGCTGGCGACCCACGTACTGGGGCTATAGTCCCGACGCAGCGGCCGTGGGTTTGAATCCAGCCTATGGCCATTTGCTGCAGGTCCCTCCCTCATTCTTCTCCCCACTTTCCCGTCTCTCTCGCTCTACTGTCCTGTCAAACAAAGGCCAAAAACATAATTTAAAAAAAAAACATATAGACGATCTGCACTTGATTTGACTTCAGCAGCTCAATCTGCTGAAGCCTCATTAGCGTCAGATGAATATGAAGTTATTTTAGGCACACTGGAATCACTGTGAAAAAAGGATCTCTTCAGTCAGTAGAACAGCCTAATTACAGCAACAGTCTTCTACAGGCATGTCAGATTGACTAAAAGTCTGTGCTGGTTACCACTCATTTCATGGGTTCAGCTGCCTGTCTGACCCACATGAAAGTCACATGACATGATGTGACCATTTAAACCCACCTTTCCCAAACAGCTGCAAAACTTCAAACACTTGACAGCTGAACAAAGCTTCACCTGAGTGAGAATCTAGTCTTTATTTGCAGTTTTACTGCTCAATCACAGAAATACATTTTCTCTTACACTCGTCAAAAACACAACTGATAAACGCCCACGACATTCATACGGTATTTAAAAGCAACTGCATAAAATGATCAGGAAACCTTAAGCCTATTTTAAAGGGCAAATCCACCCAAATAAGATTGGCAACAGACTGAACACTAAAGCAGACCAACAAAAATGCTCAACACTTTAATATCAGAAAATATACATGTTGAGTATCATAAGCTTCACTCAGACAGACTGAATAGTTTTGATAAATGCAGCAAAATCTGGCGGTTTTCAGCAGGTCATTATAGTTCTGCATAGTTAGAATATTTACTGGAAATTTGGGAAGATGATGCACACTGTCAGATAGAGGATAGAAAGAATGGAAGCACTCCAGTCAAACACTGTACTCCTCTCCTGCTCTTAATGGATTTACTCTGTGTGGCATGTTGACCGTCACTGAAAACTGTGCAAAATTACACGTACTTAAATGCAGACTTGGCGGCACAGCACATCCTGAAGCTGATTGTTTCCATCATTTAGACAAACGTTTCCACAGCTCGTCTCTTTGGCACTTCTCACAGTGACTTGTTGAACTTGATTAACTCTCGCAAACCTGCAGCCTCCTTGTAGCTTCTCCTCCTCCAGTGTCCACATCAGTCCATGGTGCCTGCCATCTTGTCACTGTAACTGTATCCTCTTCCTTGGTATCAGAGTAGGACAGAGGAGCCGAACAAGAAGCCTTGAACCCAACATCATGAATAAGATTCCTCCAGTGTCCTGTGCATGTCAGAGCTTGAGAAGTGTGAAGCGCTGCTGGTGTGCAGAGAGTTAAATGAACAGTATCTCAGGCTCTGACACAGCGCAGTAGAGCATGAAGCCCATCTGGTCCACCTGGTCCTCTGACAAGCCGCTCAGCAGATTGACAGCTGGTTTGAAGTAACTGTGTAATGCCCCTTGCTCGAGGTAGCCAATCAGCTCTGTGATACACTGTTGGAACCTGACATCCAGGCATCTTTCGGACCAGTTGCCCTCGCTGTCACTGAGGTGCAAGATGAGATTGGCCAGCGGGGCGGCTTCGAGGGGTCGCAGGGCAGGGTTCAGTCTGCACACCGCCTTGAGGATTTTAAGCAAGTGTACGCGGCAGCCGTCGTCAGCCGTGTCGAGCTGAGCCAGACGCTGGGTCTCCCACGGGTAGAGGGAGAGGTGCCAGGCGTTCACCCAGGGAGAGGTGAGCTCAGGCTGAGCGGTCAGGACCACGTCCTCCTCCCTCAGCAGAGGCAGCATGGTGATGAACAGTGACTGATCGCTGCTCTCTGCTCCTACGTTTTCATTTCCAGGCCTACAGCATTGCAACAGGAGAAGAGACGATTAGAGGGAACAAACACATCAGGTTTAATGTGCACAGACATTATGAGTTTTTAAGAAAGGCTGGGCATCATCTACTGGCCTTCAGATGAACTGGTCCAAAGCAATCATTCTAAATAAAATGTAAATGCTGGTCTTGTGTACTCAGGAGAGGATCTTTATCATGTTACACATACCAATATGAAATACCCAAATATCTCTATTAAATTTTGCACGTAGTTAGCATACAGTGACATATATATTGCATTTCTATGCAAAAGTGTGACATTTGTAAATAATCAGGGACCCAAATACAGCATCTCAACACTGAAATGTCACTGCTTTTATGATTTATTGGCACCGATAACCAGACTTTCTACTTAATAAGCAAAACTTGATGCCAACACTTGATTTCATTTATTGGTGTAGTAGCTAGCCAGTGTCAACAGTGTATTCTTAAATGGAACATTTTACAGTGCAAAAGACACAAAGGATGTGATCAAAACACCACAAAAAACAACATGGACACACACCGTATCTCCAGTCTGAGGTCGGGTCCTCCCAGAACAGGTCTGACAAGACAGTCCAAAGTGCTGCTGATGGACGGCCAGTTCACCGTCTCCATGATAGACTTACTGAACATGTTCACAACAGCCTCTGCCGACAGATAATTGCCCACCAAGTACCTACAAGACACAGGGAGAGACTGGTTTCTGTACCTTTAGCTGTGATGCCGTCTCACACTACAATTCTAATTCTATTCATGCTGCTCCAGTATAATATGCTGAAGCTCACATTAAAGATTTTAATGGGTAGTAGCACACTTTACGCTTACACTGCAGAATTCTGTTGCTTAATTATGATGTAAAACTAAATTATTGAGCTAATAGAGGTTAAACGACTCCATAGATATGCCGAGCTGGAAGCCGCTGTGGTTTCATACATTAAACAAGTCAGTTATAATGAATGTTAACATATACAGCAGGGAGTCGAATGTTTCCTAACGACGCTTTTAACCTGCGTGTGGTTACCTGTCCCAGTAGCTGCGCCCTCGGGGAAAATACTCGAGATTGACCCGTCGGACCATCCAGTGCAGAGGATGTGTGAGCAGCGTCTCCTCTCCTGGGATGAGACGCCACAGAGAAGCTTCCAGCTGCAGAGGCACCAGCAGACATGCATGGTCTGCACTGACCACCTAAACACACACACACACACACACACACACAGAGGGAAATAAACCCAGGTGGGCTTCATCCAACACCCTGCTACACAACATGATGTGCAAGTTATGGTGATGTGTCTTATCAGCTGGAAAAGAAATGCAGTTTGTGTGTGTGTGTGTGTGTACCTGTAAGTCGTCCAGCAGGGAACCTCCGAGGCTCATTTCTCCCAGTGGCATGTCCGGGTGGCGGCTGTGCAGAAAGCCTTGGATCTCAGTGCAGATGTCCAGAGCCAGAGACTGAGCCCTCTGGACCTCATGTGGAGCGAGTGCTGCCCTCGTGTTGTAGTACTGCTGCAGACGCTCCTAACCACAGTGTAAACCAGATGGTTTTTAACACCCTTTTTCAATGATACAAAGCATGAAATCACTGAAAGAACAAATCAGTCATTGTTCAGGCAGACAGGTATAGTACTGCTGTGTGTCCATTTATGTGCAACATTCAGAGAGAAGAAACTCTAACCATGAAGCAAATAGAACAGCTAAAGGTTTAAACACTTCCTCTGGGAACACACACAGCTCCCTCGAGTCTTATGATATTCAAAGTCATTGTGTGCCTATAAGCAGACTGTGATGCAGCAGAGACAGGAAGAGGTTTCGCCTGTTAAGTTGCTGCAAGGAGTATGACTAGTTAACAGCAGAGAAACAAAGCTAAGTCTGTTTTCTGACTGCTGTCATAAAACAACTGTGACTGCACTGTGGAGGTGTTTGAGAGGGTGTGGGCTGTTTTACATGACACAAGGAAGTCAAACTCAAACTACTGACATCCAAAATGACAGATTTATAGATGAATAAAAACAGGAACGAACCTGAGAAGTATCTAAAACAGACAATGCTCCAATGACTCTATTGGTAATGTGGCTTATTTAGTCGTAAAGGTACAAATTTGACACAAGGACCCCCTGTACATGTGTGTAACTGAACAATCTCTAGAGGCTGCAGCAACTTTCAATCACACTTGCAATTTCTTCAGAAATTCTCATTTTAGTTTCTAAATCTTAATCTGCTTAGGGGTGCCTTATTATGGCACACTCTGTGTTTTGTGTCTCCAACTTCCTAACAAACAAAAAGACAAACGAGTTTCATGATGCTGTAATGTATTTGTGATTTTTTTAAAAATGCTTCTTCGTTTCTGTGGATGTTGGGAAATCCTGAACATTTCTTGTCCACATGTGGAAAAAAATCATTCACACGTTTTGGCAAAGAATCTGCTTTTCTGCTTTGTTTCAGCTGGTCCTACACTACCCAGCATTCATTGCAAAAGCAGCACTCCAGAGATTTGAGACAGAAAATTATGCTGATTAGATTTGCAGCTATTCATAAAAGATAGAGTTTGCTTAAGCTTTCTTTAAAGACAAATCCTGATGTTCAAATCCTCTTTTGTGTTCAGGTCTCTGGTTGTTCCAACATTTGCTTAACAAATTCTTCTGTGTAGCTTGTGAACAACCCACAACCTTTATGCTTATGCGGATGTTCTGCACACTAACTCAAAGCTGTGTCATGCTTCTTTGACTTCCTCTATACTCTTCCAGCACACACTGTATTTTGATTATGCAGGGCTCCTGGGGCTCTGTGCAGCCTAACCAGTGCATAATAATGCGTATCCCCCGAGCGCTGCGCTTTACAAAACATGTTACACATGCATACATGAATGAGCCAGCGCTGAGCAGAGGTCTGACAGAGCAGCTGCTGAGGTTGAATGCATAATGTATCTCTTCACGAGGCCAGCGGTGAAGTGTCAGAGTTTACCTGCAAACTGAGGACGGACAGCTGGAGCCTCTTGGACTTTGACTCAGTTTTAGGCTGCACCTCCAGAGAGGACATCTGAGGTTGTTGGCAGAGATCAGCTGATTGAAAAAGAACAGTTGTCATTTAATATTAGCAGGTGGAAATAAAGATTCTATAAGTACAGTATAAATTCTGTGCATTTGTGTGTCAGGTCCTTAGTGACCATGTTGTCGATACCTTTCTGCTGTTTGGTCGCCTTGGCAACATGCTTCATCACAACGCCCTCTATGCCCTTCCTGATCATTGTTGGAGAAGCAGAGACCAAACTCAACTCCTCCCAGCTCTCAGCCATCTTCTGTTCCACCTTTTCATCGTCTGCTGCACGGCCTGCGCGCTCTATCAGCTAAACGAAAGCATGCATCGTCACAGACACGCAGTCATGTATGCAGCGCACAAACACAAAGTACACACCGTCATAACCTGCAGGTAAACCAGTTCAGACTGTAGCAGACACGTGTATCCTGAGGAGTTTTTGCATGTTTTAGTCCTAAAAACTTCTTTAAATTCCAAAAGCATTTTTACACTGATTTCCTTCCCTCTGCAGGCAGCAGAGGATTTCCATTTCACTATTGTCTAAAAATAAACAGAAATATGTAACTGTGAGCATTTTTCTGGCACTTAATGTCACAGATTCCACAACCAGCTGCCAACTCTAACTTTAAGGCATGACAAATACATTCAGAGGTAAATACAGCTGATATATTTACTCGTCATGCACCGGTTGTCTCGGCGTGCTCAGCTCTGGTGTCGAATGTGAGCGAAGTCAATTTATCGACTTTTGCACCAGATGTTGGCACCGTCTCCTCTGCTGTACAGATTATTCAACTAATGAGGCAGGATTTCACGCCACAGATGATAAAGACACCAAAATAAAAGTCAGGTTAAACAGTCATTTATCAACAAGACGTGGCAAAGTGGCTGCTGTAGAAGTGATGGTTTCTAGTTTGAACAAAATCTATATATAGTTAAATGAACTCTTTTCTTCAAGTCAAGATATTGGCAGCATCTGCCTCCAGATACAGATACATTTCCATATTCACAAGCGAGTGCCCGGGAAAGACGTACTGATGTGCTACTAACCACTTCAGGAGCACTCACCCGTTTCACTGCCAATGTAGCGATGCCCAGCATAGCTGCTCCTCCAACTCCCAGAACCAGTCGGGCGTTAGACAGCAGGAAGTCAATCACCATGGCGACGCCATCTTCTCCTCGCCTCCGACTGCCCTGGAAGTTCATTGCTTCCTTTTCGTGGTTAGCCTTTGGAAAAGAAACACAAGAGATGGCTGTCAGCTGGAGGGATAATGATCTGCATTTATGAATTTCTCTTCCACTAGAAATGCTACTCCTACATGAATAGTTGGAATAATCCATGAGATAAACTGGCCTGCTGTGCAACGTGACATATTTATTCCAACTAACAATAGTATATAGATACAACAGAGTAATACTGACAAATGTGCAGAGAGGTGATTAAAGGGAAGTCCGAGAGTGGAGACATTCAACCAAAACAAATGCTTTTATTTCAGGTATGAGGGGAACTAAATGGTTTGGCAAGTCATAGCCTCCACAGTGATGAGACAACAATCTAATTGAACATCTATGGAAAAGTTTGGGCCACTGTGTTTGACAGTATAAGGAGCTGCTCTGTAGGCTCGTTGTGGCCCAACACCTTATAATGCACTTCATTGTTAGTCATCATGTTTCTGTATGTCTGCAGCTTTCATTTGCCATCAGAAGGGAGCCACAACGAGGTAGTAATGATGGCTAAACAGGTCTTCAAATCTTCCTTAAAACAACTTCCGGAAGAATCCAGACAGGTATGTTTTTGCTGTGGGAGGGTCACGCCCCTCATTGAACCAACTACATGCTTCGAAGTGCAGTTTCAACACAGCCACGTGAATTTATGCCGTTTATATACAGAAAACATTTTTCATCCATGCTTATGAATGAGTAAAGTGTTTTCATTATTCAAGACACTTGTAACCAGTGGTGGAAAGTACATTTACTCAAGTACCACACTTTCTTTTCATGTCACATTCTATTTCCACTCCACACTATTTCAGAGGGAAACACAGTACTTTATATTTCACTATATTTACAGGTGATGATTTTCTGCATTGTGTATATTGTGTTACTTTTAATACTTTAAGTACATTTTCACAACTACATCTACATACATTTACTTTAAGTAACATGTGTAATGCAGGACTTGTACAGCGTGGTGTAAATACTTTTACTTAAGTGAAGGATGTGAATACTTCCTCCACCACTACTCTGAGCTGATTTAGTTTTGGGAAAGAAATGCTTCTGCTGTTATGTCTCGCCTCCTCCAACACAGTGCATGTGAAGCCATATTTTACACCTTTAACATCCATGATGAAGCTTGTTTAGAAAAACAAGATGCTTGCAGGATCACATAAAATCCACATCAAAACAGCGAAACTCAAAGCGTGGTTTGTGAAAAGGCTTTTTCACAGCAGACATTTAACTAGCAGTAATTACTAAAATTGATGCTGGTTTTGTTTGATAGTTGTGTCACTAGGAATCTCCAGCGAGCCAAACACTGTTCAGCCATCTTTATTGTTATTAATGACACCTGTGATTTTCCCGCTGCGACATGTAAAAAAGCCTGTCAGTAGAGCAGCTCCCTGTCTCACTATGAGGTCTGTGATCCAGCGCAGCATGAAGCTGCCTTAGAGCAGTATGTTTCTCAGAACTGAAGCCATCAGTAACATTATTAATGATGAGAAAACACATCTGAATTCAGTCCAAGTCGAAAAATGGTAAAACACACCCTTTAAGCCTGCCCATTTAGGGAGCAGACTGTAAAATAAATACATTTGTAGACTGTACAAAACTGAACGTGTGCACTGTGCTTAACATATTTAGCTTCAGGCACCTGAGCTCCACAAATAGCCGCAAGACATTACCCTAAGCCATTTTAACTGACTGTGTGTCCTCTCTCCCTGCCAGGCGTACAGGGGCCCGAGACTGGATCCTCTATTTATAGAGCCAATACTAAACGGGGTCAAATTTGTAACAACCTTCAGTGTCAACTTACAGCACGTACAGCACTGAGGTAACTTTGAAACGTCAGAGCAGAGCTGACATTTCTGTTTAACGTTGGTCGCTTTACCATCAGGCCATGCGAAAAACAGCTGATGTAGAGAGATGTTACTGAACTGATAAACATGTAGGTCAGTAAGACCTTTGTCATACTGCTGATTACACAATGTCTACTGATTGTTGCTTCTAAGCAGCACAACAATCATACAACTGCTTTCAAAATGCAGCGTACTGTAAACAAAGTTTGCCTAAAATGTACCAAATATTTGAGTAAAGCCATTTCCAGCATCTCATCCTGCCAGGCTGTAGCTGTAAGTGAGAGAACAGCCAGTCTCTACAGTAACAAAGGAATCACGCAAATATAATACGCTGTATTGAGTTCTTTAGTCAAAGACCAAACTGATGAGTTGTTTTGTAAAGAAAATGAATACTTGGTGTGACCAAGATTTGCTTTTCAAACAGAACCACTTCCTTTTGGTTCACGAGCACACAATCTGTTAAGGTATCTGTCAGATAGGCTGTTCCAGCAGACTTGAAGGAGACTTCTTTCCCTCTGTGTGAGATCTGGTCTCTGTGAAGGCCAAACCATCTACTGCAATCCTTGTTTTACTGGTAGCTGAAGCTAGGTCTTTATGACTGGGTTTATGTTTGGGCTCAATACTATAATGCAGAATGAAATTGGGACTTGAGTGTGACTCATATGAAGGACAGCAACCTGCCTGTACTTCCTAGCACTAAAGACACCACTAACTTGGACCCAGTTACTCCATGTGCAGTAGTACAGCTTCAAATCTGTGAAGAACTTTGATCATGCTTCACATTTGCCTGCGGATTCTTAAGTGAACAAAGTACTATCTGGTAAAGCTCAGTCCAGAGGTGCTGCTCAATAGCACCTGTTTGGAGTAGTGAACCCTTTAATCATGTGATGGGCTTTATGCCTACAAACACAACATCTCCGTATTTAGTATTGGGCATTTTTTTTATTGCTGCCTGTCTGATGACAAGTACAGCACTTTGGTAAACCCAGGGTGTTTAAAACGTGCTACATTAATCAAGTTGATTTGACTTTAAGTTTTGAAACTATTATTTTTATCCAGCATTTTAAATATCTTTTTATGCGTCACCGTGTTTCTTGTCATTGACCAGCTGAATATATTCCCTTGTACAGTAACTTAGCATTGAGCTGCTACATTTTCTCAGCCTCTGTGACGTTCACGAACATAAATGTAAAGACAGACATTAGCAACATTAACAGACAGTGAAGTAATCGGACAACTATCCAACTAACTAACCAACTTCAGCAACCCTTGCTAGCAGCTAAGGACAGGGTGGTGAAGCTAACCAGCTGGTTAGCTTGCTAGCTACATTAGCAGTCACTGTTCGTCTCTTAACTCTCCTGGAAAATATACTCACCACTCAGTGCGGAGAAAAATGTAAAAATCTACCCCCAAACCATTAGCGCTTCTTAAAATACGTCTTTTAATGCTTTTTCAACAACAAAGCCTGCTATCTGTCGATGTCTGCCATAAACATCGTTTAACCAGCGAGCTAACAGCTGCTGGCGTCTTCTTCGTCTATTTAATTGCAGTCGCTGTTCACCGTCACAGCGCAGTGGCGCCCCCTGGGGAGGCTCCGGAGCAGCACCACCAATTATTGTTAGTATTACATTCCCATGGCTAGAGAAAAAAATATTCATGTGTTTCCTATCAAAACATTATCTTCACAAAGGAGAAGCAAATAATAACCATGTACTGACTTCCATTTTTATGAGTTTGTGATGAAATAGGTCAATAGTGTGTGGTGTTTTATATTGTACAACTAAACATATTTAAAAGCAGATGCATTTCATGTATTTTATTTATTGAATTATAAATAACTTTCTGGAAGAAGGATACATAATGTACAAACCAATGCACCAGTTACAGATATATTAAACGTAATTTTAGAGATCCTTTTCTCCTCTCCTGTTAGGTAAAAAACATAATTTGACTGATAGGATGTGGAAAATATACAATTAACTATTCCAAAGTTATAAAGTATGAGACTTCAATGAGGATAACAGGTTGCAAACCACCTTCCTGCTCAGTGTGACCTAAAAGAACGACAAAACCTTTAGACTTTATCTAGAGAGCCTCCATCAAAGTTAAAGTTCAACTCTGTGCAAATGCAGGAAAACTGAGCTTTAGTCATTCAGTGACGGAGGTCTGAACTGAGGCCCCGTTTGTGAGATCCACTCGAGACAGAATGATTTATAGAAACAGGTAGCTCAGTGGACAGAGAACCTTGGGACAGTTCAGGGATAATATATACACTGCAGTATTCGTTGCAAGGATGTTCTTGAGTTGTTGCCTGCTGTATGCAGACTTTCTGACCACGTGACCTTCCAGACTCACAAAAACAAGAACGTTTTGTGAGAAAAAAAAATTGTAGTGTTAAATAAAATTAAGGCATATTTCTGATACCATCATCTTGATCACTTTCAATGAGTCAAAAGTTAAGAAAAATGTTACATCACAGTGTTCAGATGAAGCCACTGCATTTGTAAGCAAATTGCAGCGGTTGGAAAACATACTGTAAATCCCCATCTGGACGGCTCCTTCATTTATGTAACTACTGTTCTTGGCAATCAGACACTCTCCAGTGTGCTGCGCCAGTACCTGCTGTCTGAGCAGCGAGCTGGCTTTAAAGAATCAACTCTGCAAAGACAGTTTCAGCTTTATTTCATTTCCCCAGCACCTTCTTCGTCAAATGAAAAGTGACCACTAAAAGCCATGAAACCTCTGTACACAGAATCAGTTTCCCCATTCACCATCCAGCATTTCGCCTCGTGCAGGTAACTTTTGCAAAACACGCTTCCGTTCTCTAGCGTAGCAGAGCTTCAGAAAGCCGTGAACATCACTCATCCTGTTTTTAGAAAGCAATTTCTCCTCTGAACGGAGGTTATTTTTGTTCATGTGTAACTCCAGACTAACCTAGCAGAATGCTAATGAGTACCTCTACCAAATATGGCTGACTGGAAGAAAGCAACAAATTAGTGTTTACACAGCAAACCTCGAGGACAGGCATTTCTGGAAATTAAGCTTCCTCTTAGACCCAAGAAAAACAGGACGTAACAGAAGTGGTTTTGCTCAAATTAAGTTCTGACTGACCCATGTTCATCCGATTTAAAAGAGGAGAAACTAAATTTAATAGAGAACAGCAACAACACGGCCTCCATCACTATATGAGGTGAACCAACTTCAGACTGAAACAGGAGTGTAAAACAAGACCTGAGTTTTTCGTCACTCCATAAAGCATCAGTTTAGTTGATACATCATATTGTGAACTCCACCTAAATGAGTCACACCGCTGAGTCAAATCATAACACATAAAGCATGGCTGCGCATCCGCCAGTCACTGGAACTTAAACATGGAGGCTGAAGAGAACAACGAGTGAAGATCCGACATGGCACAGAGTAAAGGTACGGAGCAGAAATGTAGGTGCAAGAAAACAAAAGGTTCATTCTCCATAAAAGTCCCCCAATTAAAGACTATACAAACGTATTGTACATTATAACAAGTTAGATTACAGCTCAGGTTTTCTTTTGTACAAGTCCATACGTACATCTTCCTTTTAGCTCTTGAGGTCTGTACATCCTGGTTACAAAAAATACATGCCATTTCAAAGTATCTATGAACATAGGAACAAAAATGTTTAATTTAAGGTAACTGAACAGTATAACAACAGAGCCTAACTGTAGTAAGTTATTTGAGGTTCTGTAATATGTAGCAGAGACGCCGGCTTTGTCTGCCAGAAACAAATATACACTCAAACTGATCCAGACTCAAATCAAAATGCAGACGACATGATGACTGTGCCCCTTGTGCCAGACTAAAGCTGGACCAAGAAAACGTTGACTGATCAAATCATATTGCAATATTGAAATACACAAAAGAACAGAGATATTTATCTGTGTGTGAAAGAAGTGCTCAGTGGCGTCTCATTTTGACTTTGCGCCCCGAGCTCTCCCGGTGTTTGTCGTAGTCTTGACCACGCCTCCAGTAGTTCTCAGAGCTGATGCTGTGACGTCGATGACGGGAGAATGACGGGTGTCTGTTCTCTTCCTTATCCATCTCCAGAACCCTCGGCCTGGTGGAGACACACATGGATCATTCATCACGTGACAATCAACTCTACGCTGCCTCATTATTTCACCAGTAACATGTTGAGGTCTTCATGCATCTACTCAGTACCTGCTACCGTAGCCCTGATTAAACACTACACATTACAACCAAGTACAATCAGAAGGTGAAACGGGACCAATAACTGCGGAGCAATACTCCAAGAAGATCAGAAGAGAGTCTTCCGTGGCCTGTATTGACCTCTCTGTGTTGGAATAAGTCATGTTTCCAGAGCCATTATAGGAACAGCAATATGATGCAGAGTTGTGACGTACTGCACAAACAAAATCTGAAAATTCTGTACCGTCTGGTGAGTTTAAAACTTCATTTTGTTAATTTTATAGCAATTAAAATGCTCCTCTTGTTCTATTGATGATGTCATGGCCACTAGTTTCCAGTCTGAAGAGAGACACAGTTTCTGATGAGCTGAGTTGAAATGAGAGAATAAAGAATGGACCTTGGTAACACCTGGAATAGAGTTTCAGCTTTTCGTGTCACATCAACTGTGGGCTTAGTAGAGGTCATTTGTCTAATCCCCAGGGCACAGCCACGCTGGACTGTGATGTGTGTATATAGACTACATGATCTTGGAGCTGGGTCACTGGCAACTAAAACGCAACCATTGGCTCTTAATTCTATTTTGTCGGTTCAGATTCAGATAACATCTCATCCTATTATTGCAGGTTTCAGGTCTATGTGTGAATAAAGACAATTATCGGAAGCAGACCCGGTTCTGGTCATGTCATGGAGAACAAAGTGTCATCACAGACAGTGTTTAAGTTGTATAGTACAGTGTTCACTGAGCTGCAACAATTAATCAATGAGTTGTCAACTATTACATTTATCGACAACTATTTTGATAATCAATTTATACGTTTAGGTGCACTTTTAAGAAGAAAATTCTCTGACTCTAGCCTCTTAAATTTGAATATTTTACTGGTTTCTTTACTCCTCCATGACAATCTTTTTTGCTGTGGACAAAACATGACATTTGGGGACATCCTCTTGGGATTTGGGAGAAACTGATTGACATCTTTCACTATTTTATGACATTTTATTGACTAAACAGCTACTTGATTAGTTAAGTGTCAGTTGCAGCTCTAGTTTGGACCCATGAAGACCTGCAGTGTGAGTGTGTACCTGTGAGCAGCGTCAGGGTCGGCTTTGCGATGAGAGCGTTTGGCTTTCAGAGGAGCAGGTCTCTCTGCAGGAGAAGAGCTTAAAGGGCTGTCAGAGTCCAGTCGAGGAGCGTCAGGTCTGGTCCTGGTGAAAACAGGAGGCAGCACAAGCAGAAACACTGGGATCAGAGAGAGGTTTCATACAGGACAATTACTTTTTTAAATGCTAGTATGCAGACTCACTTTCTGAGGATGATTACTGCTCGCCGCTCCTTGATGTCTTGGGGTCTGATGCAGTGGGTAATGTCATCAGCAGCATAGCCACTGACAAAGACAGAAGAAGAAGAGCTTTTAGTGGCAGCAATGTGAGGCCTGGGCAGCTGCACAGAAACAGTAACTGAGTGAAAAGCACGACAGCAACCACAGCTATGTTCACCTGAGCACTGTGACACTCCCCCTCCTCACTGGCAGGACGAACACCGGCTCAGACACCCGGATTGGTTTGAACTGGAAGCGGCATCCGAAGCAGAGCGCGCTGTCACTGAAGAAGGACACGGAGACGATGGGCCGGGCAAAGATGTGAAGGGGATCCACGTGTGACACAATGCATCCACCCGGCTGATAATCATTGATGACTGCACTGTTGACAAAGCCCTCCGGGATCACTCCGTTGGACACCAGCCGCTTGATCACCAGCTCATGCACCCAGCTCGGGATCTCGTCCACCTCTCCTTTGCGGTAGAGCCGCTCCTGGCCCGGTCCACGCTTCTCCAGTTGGGCTCCGTACGTGTAGCCCTCCCCGAAGAAGTACTTGTTGCGGAGGGGTGCCCTGTCCACGGTGTGCTCACGGTAAAGTCCGGCCTCTCCTTTGGCCACCACCTCGTCGATCTTCTCCTCGATGAGGGCGCACTCCTCCGGGGTGAAGATGCTCTTCTGCAGGATGCTGCTCCTCACCCGGCGGGCCTCCTGCTCCCGGAGCTCCGCGCTGTCATCGCTATGCTCGTACTCGTCGTCGTCGGACTCCCGGTACTTTCTCTTTCGGCCCTTCCCGCTGCCGTTACTCGTCCCGTCCGCGTATTTATTTTTGTAGTCGTCTCTGTGCGGCGTCATGGATTTAAGCTTCTCCCTCAGGTCAGAGTATCCGCTGGCTGCCATGTCAGCCAAAACAATACGACCGGTGTGCTGCGACGCGAGCTGCTAGCTAACGGATAGCTCCTATCAGCGCTGCATTTCAGCACCAACTTACCACAGTCTGGTTAATGTGAGCAGACAAGACGTCAGACGGTTCAATATCAGTCGCTTGTGGGACCAGAGGCTCCCTCACACAGCGGTGTCCAGCGCACACAAGTAGCTAACATGAGCTAAGCTGCTCCGCCGTCCTGCCTGCGCATGGAAGCGGCAGTCCGGTGTGACACCAGGCGGTCTGTAGGTGATATTAGCGGACACTCACGGCCACACAGAGCCGTAACAAACGCTGTGTCGACAACCACACCGCACCGCGCTCAGCCTGCGGAGAGGCTAACAATGTTAGCCGAGCTGCTAGCAGGTTAGCTCAGCTAGCCGGGCTCGGTCTGTCCGTCGCTGCCTGGAAATACCGACAAACCACGCAGCAACATTTCACATGTCACCGCTAAATTCCAATCCTCGACGCTCCGGAGACGTTTCCACTCAGCTTTTCACCTCCAATAGTCCAAGACATACATTGTTGTGCGGCCGCAAAGCCTGACCGCGGTTAGTTTATGCCATCAAAACCGTCTCCAAGAGAAAGGCTGAAAATAAACTCGTGTAACCTGCCAGGGATCTGCGCATGCTCAGTGGTGATTATTCAGTTTGGGGAGGGACCAAATCCATTCTGGAGCCCTGAGGACACATTTCAGTCCACTGCTGCTAAATCTGTCCCACTAACCTCTTATTTACCTCCAGGAGCTTCACACTGTTCATTTAAGGAGCTATGCTGGTTTACTATAGAGTTATTGTTTGTGTTTATGATTATCTAATACACTAGGGAAAAAACAACTTTGTTTACATGTTTTCCAATAAAGAACACAGATCACTCTGAATGTAATAAAATACATTTACTCAAGTTCGGTGCACATGTGTTTTAGCATTTAAAGTCTATGCCACTTTTACTCCACGACATTTAAAGGGGGAGTTGTACTTCTTAATTCAGTACACTGTTTGGCAGATGTAGATACAGATGAATTTAAAAGAATGTAAAACCCAGAAATGACTGTAAAATACCAACTATAGTTATACAATTAAATGACTCAATCATTCATGAAAATAGTAAAAATAAATTTGTAGATCTTACAAATACTGTAAGCAATTAAATATTTGGTTTAACTGTTGAATACTGACAGTTTGATTTTTTAAATATTGAAAAAATGAATCAATTCAATGCCTGATTAGAAACACAGCTGCTGTTTTTTCCCCCTAATTTTTTGTCTGTATTGACAGATAGCTGATTAATCAAATAATAATAATTACTATACTAATTTAGTTACAGTAGTAGCTGAGAAACTTCAAATGAAAATTATTGTAATTTCAGTTTTGTTATCAAAACATTTAGTTTGACTATTTTGTATCAATTTGTGGTATTACATATTCATCATTTAAATGAATCAGCGCAGAAGAACTCACAATTCTCTTTAAATCTCACAATTTATTTTGATAAAATACTCTTTACAAAGTATGCATTAAATCAAATACAATATCTGTTTACACATCAAGTTTTACAGTCAACCGCAGTAATAAAAAAAATAAAAAAATATGGTACATATCAGTTATAAAACTTTGTAGTGACAAGGCACAGAGCTGTGAAGCTTCCTCACTGTTCAATAACAACTTCTGTACACATTAAGCATGTTGGATGTGAAACCTATTAAAGCAGTAAGTGCAATCATCGAGGTGTCACCCTGAAAAAAAAGACGTATCAAGTAAAAATAATCAATATTGACTGTTACTGTATCCAGGCTGCACAGAATAATAATGAAATAGAAGTGATCTCAGGGTACACTTATGTAAGTGTGTGTTTGATCCATACAAGAAAGAAGAGGTAGGCTATTTAAAAAGGTTTCCTCTACGTGTGTGAATGTACATATACGTTTGTGCGTGGGTCGAAGCATGAGCATGTGTCACAGCATGGTGATTTCACTGGGTGGCAGCGTGAGCCTCTTCTCCCGCACAGACATCATGTTTTCCACCTGCATGGCGATGACTCGACACAGCTCCAGGCCCTGCCGACACGGAAAGGCGGCATCAGCACATAGAAATGACCACGTAAACGACGGTCACGTGTTCACCTCTGACGCGCGACCTTGTTTGTGTTTGCGTGTTGCTTGCGTAATACCTGCTCCAGCTGCAGCTGAATGACCCGTTGAGTATTCATGTCCCCCAAGGTGAGGTCTACATACGGGTAACTGGTGCCGGCGGTGGGCCTCTGGGTGCGGCTGGACTGCACCTCCACCAGGGGGACCGCTGCCATCAGCTCCTGCAGCGAACAAGACAACGCACAACTGCCTACTGAAACTCCAACTCTAGCTCTGGGCTCATGTTAGTGTCACGAAGAGCCGAGTCATACTGTGACTGTGTGTGTGTGTGTGTGTGTGTGGTTTCTTACGTGTGTATTTTTGTGCAGGAAGTGGAGGCCGTGTTGATTGACAGCAAGGATACAGGGAGCGTAGAAGGTTGTGGAGCTGCTGCTGTGGATGTAGAAGAACGAGGAGCCAAACATGGGGAATGCACTGACCAGCCCTGCAAGCACAAAGACAGTTTAAATCTAATTCTGTATTACATATATATATATTGCATAGTAACTTATATAGTAGCACTCTATTGTATTACACAGTTCATTTTCCTACCCAGCCTGTAAAAACAGGAGAAGCCAAGTCATGGTAATTATACACTTAATGAGCACTTTATTAGCAACACAGTGTGTTCCTGGGGCAATCCAAACAACTGCTCTGACGTAAATCCTGCTTTTACGAGTACCCCCATCCTCTCACGTACAGGGTAGACACAATAATAGGAGTATACAGTCGTCCTCTAATGTATTCATACCTTTTTTCATTAAAGAAAAGGCAAAATTCACAAAAGTCACTCAAATAACTAGAAACTGAACAAAGTAATAATAAATAAAAATGTACTAAATTATAATTTAGTGAAATAAGACGTTGCTTTTGAATTGTGGTTGAAAAGAATAATTTAAAAAACAAACAAAAAAAACTGTGCCAGACAAATTAGAGCACTTTGCTGATGGGCAAAAATCAAAACACCTGTCAACAGGTGCAGAAGTCTGCCGGCGCCCCCGGTGGTCATGGCCTGCTGCTCCTCCCAGTGTGGACACCCCCAATGGTAGCGTTACCCACAATCCTCAGTGCCATGCCATGTCTCCCTACTGTCAGTGGTGAAAGTGTATGGTTGTGTGTGGGTGTGTGCGCATATATGTGGGGCTGTGTGTATATTTGGAGGGTGGGAGGGACGGGTTTTCTTGTTTTTAATGTTTTTATTGGTTGTAAGTCATTTTGTGTTGCTTTCTTTGTATGAAAAGTGCTATACAAATAAAGTTTGATTGATTGATTGAGTTACAGAAAACACTTGATTGCAGTGATTGGCTCAAAGGGTTGTTCAACAATATATTAGTTTACGGGTCCCATCATGCTTGTTTGCTTTTTTATTTTTTTATTTATTTATTTTTTAATATTTCTGTTGAACCACAATTCAAAAGCAATGTCATGATTTTCATTAAATTTTGATTTATTATTACTTTTGTCAATTTCTACTTATTTCAGGGACGGCTGTTTTTTTCCTTCTTTATTGGGAGGGTCTGAATACATTTGAGGATGACTGTATTTCAGTCTAATGCTGTCCAATACACCACCATGCTTATACCCTCAGTCTACATCCAGTGAGCCAGACTACATGTTTATAAACACACCAAGAGTGATCTCCCACAATGCACTGTAAAAGCGAAAGTGAAATTCAAGCATTCAGCCGGAGCCCCAGGAACCAAAGGTTTAATAAAAACTGTATTTATGGTGTCTACCTAATTCATGCACACTTGTTGCATTTTAGCTCAGGGTGAGTGTTTCTACAGCTGATTTGCATCTCTCCTCTGGTTCTCCTTCTCCACTTGTGTCTCCAGTCTTTGTATGTAGTGTTTTTAGATAAAACACGGATCCATGTGTGGAAACAGACACACACACAGAGCGGAACAGACATAAGCAGGGTAAAGACAAAACATTTAATATTTTAAAATGTTAGCATAGGTTAATGGTTGTTTTGGGATTTTTATTTTGTTGGCATTCCTGCACACAACCTTTCTGACTGTAAATGAAAGTGAGAGGACAGTGGAGGTGTGGCCAATGTGCTTTTAAGATACAAATATTTTCATCCATCCATCCATCATCTATACACCACTTAATCCTCACTACGGTCACGGGGGGCTGGAGCCTATCCCAGCTGACTCAGGGTGAAGGCAGGAGACACCCTGGACAGGTCACCAGTCTATCAAAGGGCTACACTTAGAGACAGACAATCAAGCACACTCACATTCACACCTACGGACAATTTAGAATCACCATTTAACCTCAACATGTTTTTGGACTGTGTGGGAGGAAGCCGGAGAACCCGGAGAGAACCCACGCTGCACGGGAAGAACATGCAAACTCAGAAAGATCCTGGGTGTCCTCACCGGGACGTGAAGCGGCAATCGTCTTGATGTAATATATATCATTTTTTCATGAATATGATAAAGTGCTTTGATGTGTCAGTTATTTTCTTTGCTGAATTAGCCAAAAGATTAATGTTGAGTTAATTTATCTATCTTTTATTGATTATTTCACAGTTTCTCAAATGATTTTCCTCCAAATGTAACATAACACATACATTTATGTTGTGTAATTGTTACACATGGAGAAAAAAAATGTAGAAACAATATCTTAAAACTGACTAGTTAAGCCAAAAATGAGTCTTCTTTTCCCCCTGCAGTGCTTCACCTGGATGTGAACAGTGATCTTACCCAGGAACTGTGCTCTGGCCTGGTGTGGGTTCAGGGTCTGCACTTGCTGCATGTGCTGCGTCACCATGGTAACCCACTGCTGGGGTGGCTGCTTTTTGAAGAGAGGTGTGGCGATGTACTCCGATAATTCGTGTCTGGGGGGAGAGAGGACGAGTAGCGCGGTGTCAGATAAACAGAAGTCGGCTTCACTCGGTGAACATTTCTGGAAATGATTTTACACAACTCAGTGAGCTGTTCTGCTTTTGGCTGCGTGTGGGAGGAAAGAGACTCCGATAACAACAGTAACAGCAACAAATCATATAAGAGTTTTTACAGCTGAGAAAGTAAAAAAAATAAATAAAAAGTCATGCCCTCTAGACACGACAAGTGTAGTCCAGGCTTGTATTTACCGAACTGTTGTAAGTTAAGTGAAGTCAAAATCCTTCACTTCTACTCACAAACTTAAAAATAAACTATATATATATTTTTTTAGATATAATGTCAGTACAAAATGCCACGATTTATTGGAGCAAGAAACTGTAAAACCAGAAAGAATTGTCAGATTTTTTTTAAACATTCCACCAGTTCTTGAACTACTATCTTTCCATCAGGAAAAATGCTGAAATCTAACCTTACAGTTGTGGTATTTAATTAAAATCACATTATTCTGAATGTCTCATTTAAAAACTCACCAAAAATAAATAATCTATATGACCCAGATTCTGTCGCAATAAACAATAAAAACAAACAAAAAATCTGTGCTCCTTGGTGCAACCTTGAAACTATGTGTGACTAGAAAAATTCAGTGACCTTTCTGCTGAACTGCAGGCTGTGTTTCCACAGAGCNACCTTTCTGCTGAACTGCAGGCTGTGTTTCCACAGAGCCAATAGGAGGCAAGAATGAAAGTAACTTGTAAGTAAATGTAGGTGATAATATATCTATGTGGGGCGGCTGTGGCTCAGGTGGGAGAGCGAGTCAGTCCATGATAGGAAGGTTGGCGGTTTGATTCTGCTCTGTAACCTGTGTCATGGTTGTTGTGTCCTTAGGCAAGACACTTCACCCACCTTGCCCGGTGTGAATGCGTATGAATGGATAGTTTGAGGTGGTGGTCGGACGGGAGAATGGCAGAATGGCAGCCACTCCTCTGTCAGTCTGCCCCAGGGCAGCTGTGGCTACAATTGTAGCTACCACCACTGGAATGAATGTGTGTGAATGAATAATTGACAGTGTGAAGCGTCTTTGAGTGTCAAGAAAAGTGTTATATAAATCTGATCAATTATTGGGTAACACTTTATAATAGTTAATAGTTCATTTGTAAACTGTTAATTAGTGAGTTATTAACCACTTGTTAAGTGTTTGTTAATAGTTTGTTGATGATTTATAAAGATGCCTTATAGATAGTTAATAAACCATTTACAAACTGTTAGTTAATGAGTTATAAATGACTTGTTAACTGTATATTAAGGATTTACAGCCATACCTTATAAACCAGTCATAGATCATGAACAAGCCATTCGTGAATTACTTACTAATGACTTGTTAAGTATCAGTTAATAGTTTATATATGTTATTGGGATGTTATTCTACAGTTGCTATAGTTATTAGTTATTATACAGTGTTAGCAATTATTGTTATTATTATTATTATTATTATCTATGATATGTTGAGCCAACTATTTTTTTCCTAGTATTTATAACACTTACTTGGTAAAATGTGTTTCTTCCTTTTATGATTTGTGGCATTATAACCGTGTCACAGAAGACATTTTGAGTTCTCTACATTGTAGTGAAAAAATGAGTCCACACTGAGTAAAATGGGACAGAAACAGAGCTGTTCCAAAAGCCTCTATGGGGCAAGAATCTATTTTATAAGGCGTAATTCATTCAGAAATTCTGGATGAAATGCTGAATCTTGACATAGAGTGTTGGAAATAACTGCTATAAATGTAATTCTAAGAATCAAAAGGCAAAAAACAAAGCCCAAGGAAGGCAAACGTAAATAATGTTTGAAGCTGTTTTGACATATTTAAATGTAATGGGTACGTATGTTTTATATATGTATGTATCTAGAAACTAATTTTATGTTTCTTGCTTTAACAGTGTAAATGCCCACTGTGCAATAACTGCAGTTTTCTTTTTTTTTTTCTTTTTTTTTTACACGACACTAGTTTTCATTTATAACAATATTTTTCTTTTAATTAGTATTCACTTAACTTCCTAACTGTATAAATACGACCGAGTCATGAACTCAGCATGCATGGATATAATTAATAAAATGACAACAACAAAGCTTAAAAAACTGAACCGGAGGCTAAATTTGCAAACAGTTCCCTTTGCGGATCATTATAAACTTTAACTACTTTCTCACTGCTGCTGTTTTCTCACATGCTGGGGATGAACACGATGTCTTTGGCTCGGTGCTGCAAAGCTGACAGTTTGGAGATCTGGTGGAACTGCTGGTCGCTCACTTTTCCATGTGGAAGAACATTCAGCAGACCTTTACAATAGTCTGGAAGGATCTAAATATTCACACAGAGTTATATACAGATAAACATGTAAACAACAAACACAGGGTATGTGCAGTGAGTTAAGCAGCGGCTATGGTACCTGGTTGTAGTGCATGGCGACACACAGCTCATTCTCAAACTTGAGCGGCTGAGTCCAGACGACTCGTCGGAACCAGAAGCTGTAGTTGGAGTCGACTAACTCGGCCTCTGTGGCCACATCCAGGATGTACTCGTGTTTGTTCAGAGGCCGCACATTCTGACCTGAACACACCCAAACGCACACATGTAATGTTTGTCATTACACAGAGATATGCATACTTACTTCGTCTAATGCTCAGCAGCTGACCTGTGCTACGCAAACGTGTGTTACTACTGCTGACACCCATGCCCTGAAATATTACATTAACACTTGTGTAGCCACATGCTGCGTGACCTGCTGTGCTTCAGAATAGCACAGGAGCAGGAGCAGCTGCCAGCTGTTCTCATGTGCAGACATTTAACCCCTGAACATTCACCCGCTGGTTTACTGAAAAAGACTAAAAGCTGGTTTGGTTGGACTTTCACAGTGGAAACAGTGTGCAGCACATATTCAACAAGTATGCTTCTCTAAAGAGGACAGAAAAGATTTTTAAAAATATTCATTTTGCTGTGTTTGCACTCCTATTACAAAGTAAGGACCTACTGTTGCCCTGGGGTGTTGGTATCTTAAAATACTAGTTTGCACCACTTGAAGCATAAAGCTTTGTGCTCTTAAACTATTTATCATCAGGGCTGAACCCGTTGAAAATAAGGTGCATACAGGGATTTTCACTCAGCCAGTGTTGAGACTTGTGAGTGTTAAGGCTACAGTCAGAAAAAAAAACAAAACAACTGAATGTAAAGTCTACAAAGTATGTGTACTGTGTGAGTCCTTCAGCGGGTGAAATCAGTGTCAGAGCTTTAAACACTGAAACCTTAACAAAGCAGAAGAAGCAGCAGCACAGAGCGAAGAAATAGGACAAAGTGCAAAAGTTTGTGTGTGTTTTCATGCATTGTGTTGTTCCTAAATGCACACACACAATATGCAAAACAACTACCATCTCAGTGGACAATACACACAACAAAATTAGTGATTGATTATTACATGCAGTGAGCTTTAAGGTCCGTGTATCAGAACATAAACTGCTCTCGTTGTTTCATCATGACACACTTATTTGGACATGAACATGAATGAGCTTTACTGGCAATGACTTTGCCAGCAAATACAAAGTTTCAAGTGTGTGTGTGTTTGTGTCAGAGTGAACAACATGCTTGTGAGCGCACCTCTGTTGGTCACTAAAAACACTGCGTATTCTTCCATGGTCTCCAGCCGGTGTAAACCCATCTCATAACACAGCTCCTCAATCACCTCCAGGGCAACCTGAGGAACACACACGCACACAGTCAGTGCATCTCACACACACACACACACACACACACACACACACACACACACACACACACACACACACACTAAACACTTACAGAACATGTTTTCAGTTTCACGTGACGTTCAATGCCTCCAGGAAAGAGAAACAGCTGACGTTTGGAACTTCGTCCGGCCTGGGAAAGCAAAAACACACACTGATGTGGTACACACTGTACATATCAAAGACTGCGACTGATTTTATAGAGCTTTAACACACCTACACCTAAACCGACGTATTTACTGGGATGAAACGTCGCACTGAAGTACGGTGCAACTTTGAGATACTTGTGTTGGAAGTTACAATTAAAATCTGATGCATAGTTACAGATTAAACTTCCCAAATTATATAAAATAAGAACGGCAATATTCAATAGTTCTCATTTCTACAAATCCCATGAAAAGAAGAAAAAAAAGTGATTTTCTCTGATTATGCTCCCGTCTGTGGCATTCAGCTGCAAGCCCACCGGTTCCTAAATAAATCTTTACAAACGACTTGCAAACTCTACAATTGGTGTTTTTTATTTATTTGCTAAAATAGCTGCGAACTGCACTTTCTGCCAAGTATTGAATGCTGAGACAGGATTAAATTGTGCACTTGTTGGGAGCTATTGACAGACTATAGTCCCCAGAAACAGGTCACCCACTGCAACGCTGTGGCTCACTGATGTGTCTGTAATAGATTTTTGACAACAATGGCGCTTTATGGCACAGAGGAAAAAGCTCAGTCCCGCTTTGGATGCACAGACAATAGTTTTCATCTTTTCATGAGATCTGACGAAGAAGAAAAGTCATCATCAGCCTTATCCTTCAACATTTGCTCCAGAACAAGCAGATACCACATCAATGTGCTGATTACATCAATAACCAGGGATAACTTTACATAATCAGAGTGAATCAAAGTGAACTTTTTTGTTTTTCAAGAGTGAGGAGTGGAAAACGGTTTCTAGTTTTTGGTCGATGTGCAAAAAAAAGGTACATAAATAAAATAAATAAATAGAAAACGTACACGTGTGCACATGATATAACAGCATGTAAATGATAACAGCAAAACAGTATTTGACTGCTGGAACAATTAAATTCTGTAATTTCCTTTATAATGAAACATTACATTTGACAGTTAGGTACAATTTGCTAGTAACACTTTCAATGTTTACTTGAAGTGTCTTATACTGTGGTTATTATTAGTTTAGCTTAAGTAAAATATCTGAATCCTCCTTGCACCACTGCAGATAAAGAAATGGAGGCACTGACCATCATAGCCTTCAGCTCCATGCTGTTTGGTGGAACAATGCGACCTCCGAACTGGTACGTCTTCTTCAGATTCTGCTCGCATGCTTTCGCTATGCCTACACATTTCAAGGAAACATCACACGCTTTGGTAATCTGTTCAGCAGATTTAAACCTCCCGGTTAATGCGCCGACTTGTGTTGGCTCTTACCCTGATACTGTGCCCCGGCGCTGCGAGAGGCCTGCTGCAGATATTTCAGCAGGAAGGGCTTGAGGACTTCAGAGCAGCGATGGAAAGCAGTCAGGATGTACAGCAGCCTCCAGCCTCGTTGGCAGCTATCGCTGCGGAGCACAAGAGTGCACGCTCGGGATCACAGGCTCAGCGATGAAAGAGGCTTGTAGTGTGTGTGAGTCTGTGGTGTGCGTGTCGGTAATGTGCGGCCAGCAGACTTACGGTTTGGAGCTGGTGTTAGTGGTAAGCTGTTTGAGGAGCTGGCAGTAAGCCTCATCCCTCATCAAGGTGAACTCTCCAATGAGCTGAGGAGGGGACACACAAACACACAGAATATATACAGTACATTCACACATATAGATGAGCAAATTGTCAGAGAGAAAATAGTAGCCCAAGAAATAATCATGTGGATATTTACTTTGAGAAAAGTGCTCGCTATCTCCTGTTCTGTCAGTCCTCTTGGAGAAGAGTCGCCCATGAAACGCATGATGCCTACACAAAACACACACCCACACACATGCACACATACGCCAACAGTATTAAAGTCTTAATAAGCAGATTTTGCAGAGAAATCCGGCACTGGAGTCCTTAACATCTGATAGAAATGAAGTCATGTCATTTTTCTATCATGTATCACAAATTTGCTTCGAGGCGCTTCATAATCTGTACAGCACACATCGTCCTTAGACTCTCGATTTAGATAAGGGAAAACTGCCCCCCATAAAAGCCCTTTAATGCGACAAAAAATGGTACAAATCTCAGAGAGTGCAACTGAAGAGAGATTCCTCTGCCAAGACAGACGGACAGACATGCAATAGATGTCAGAAGTTACAAGAACGTCTCATTTCAACAGAGTGTGAGTCGGAGCCCAGCTGTAATAAGATGATGTAATTAGAGGAGAGATGAGAGAAGGTGAGAACTTACACAGGAAGAGATCAGCTGCCACTCTGTTCATGGCTGAGTCTGTGAACTCTATCAGAGACTCAGTCAGAGGAGTCTGCAAAGGAGAAAACCATACAAGACAAGTGGAATAAGAACAACTCGAGACGCCCACAGCGTTATACAAAGATGATAGCAAGGAGAAGCAGGGTACCTTGGAGAACTTGATCATTTCAATGGGCTCCCTGGAGTCTCTGTTCTTGCTTTTGCTCTTCAGGGAATCTCTATAAGAAAATCATTCGCAGTGTGATGCCGTTAGATTTAGACAATGTATTGAGATAATTAAGGGAAACTAGCAACAACACACTAAAAATAACTTAGTTCAATAAAAGTACACAAGTATTTTTAGCCAGATTTATTTTCATGTACTCATAATGTGGACTGGCGCGCGCAAGTGCTACAGTATTGTTTTATGCAGTCGTTATAACTGATGCACTAACATGTAGGAACTTTAAAGTTGTAGCTGGTGAATAAAGGTTGAGCTCATTTAACTACTTGACATACAACTGGGTGGTTTAGGTTTACAATAAATGAGGGAATCTCTGCCGTGTGTTTTTCTGTTCTTTGCATATCTTGACAGCCGTGCACCTGATCAACTTGTCATGGATCTCTGCAGGGGTCTCAAGTAGGTGCAGTGTTGAGTCTTGTATAGATTGGATTAAGGGTGGCCATTTTGGTGGGTGTTTTGGGTCTATCAGGGGTTTTTTGGCTGCCTGTGGTCAGTGCTTAAGTCATCCCTATTGCTAGGCAACATCATCAGTCAAATGTATGATGTCATGTGGTGATGCAGAGGTTCATTATATTGCAGATTTCTGAACAGCATTGAGCCGACATTTGATTGTAGGTACTATTCCAGTTAGAGACAATGCATCTTCATTTCTCCTTTTTTTAGGATTATTAGATTTTTTTGTATGTAAAGTCTGTAAAATAAGCATAAAGTAAAGCTGGTGAGTAAAATCGAGCTCAGTAAAAAGTGGTGGAGTCGCACAATAACGTAAAGTGTAAATAAATAAAGTAGGCTCTCACAATTGTGCGTTATTACACAACTTGTATATCCATCCGTCTGTTATCTATACACCGCTTAATCCTCACTAGGGTCACAGGGAGCTGGAGTCTATCCCAGCTGACTCAGGGTGAAGGCAGGGGACACCCTGGACAGGTCACCAGTCCATCACAGGGCTACACTTAGAGACAGACAACCAAGCACACTCACATTCACACCTACGGACAATTTAGAATCACAAATTAACCTCAGGATGTTTTTGGACTGTGGGAGGAAGCCGGAGAACCCGGAGAGAACCCACGCTGCACGGGGAGAACATGCAAACTTCACGCAGAAAGATCCCGGGTGTCCTCACCGGGATGCGAACCACCAACCTTCTTGCTGCGAGGCAACAGCGCTAACCACTGAGTCACCTTGCAGCCCACAACTTGTATAAATGTACTTTGCTACTTTCTACCTCTGGATTCCAACATGCGAAGTTCTGAATGTGTTTCTGTGCCTTTGTGTCTCTGTCTCACCCCTTCCCGCTGGGTGCCTGTCTGAAGTACTTCTTGGCAAACTCCAACATGTCATATTTACTGTCCTGCAGGGCCCTCTCATCCAGGTCTCCATCACCAAAGCCATCAAGGGAAACTTTCTTAAAGGCAAAGAGTGACAGCAAAAAACAATCTGAGTTCAGCCTGACAGACAGAAAATAGAAATCCCTATGTGAGCGTGTGCCTGTGCCTGTGAACCTCAATCGTTTGATCGATCTCATGCGCAGCCATGGTCGACGCCACGGCAACAGCCACCGCTGATGACACAGCGAACTGTCCCGCTCCACCTCGAGGCTCCGCTTTGCGGTCCAGTGGCAGCGAAAGGAAGTCAGGAGGAGCGACGGGATGGACGCACTCGGCCGGGAAGGCGCCAGAGCGGCCGAACACGGCACCGAACTTCCAACCTGGTGCACAAACACAGAGCAGAGGGATTACAGCACGCGCTTATACACACACCTGATTGCTTTGTGTCCCTAAACAACCCTCCCCTCCTAAGTCCTGATCGCTATCTGCCTTCCCTCTGAGAGCAGGTCACCCTTTCATATAAACAAGTCAGATTCTTATCTGCATGCTTTTCTTTATCATTTACAAGACTTGACTCGGCTCAGCTGTAACGCTGATAACCTGGCACATAATGCGACCTCTGGGCTAATTATAGATACAGCACACACGGGTGTTTCTGTCACTTGCGAGGACGTGCATCGATTCCCTGAAAGCTTCACCTGAGCTCAGTCACCATGTGATTAACCCCAACCTTCTCCTGATGGTGATATCAATCCTGAAAGTCAACAAAGTCTTAACCCATAAAATGAAAAGTGCAGTAATTACTTTTGTATTTTACAAGTAGTAAATTAAATGTCTATGCATAATGTGTGTAGCAATGAAGAGAATTATCGCCTGACCTGACAGTTCCTCTCAGCTTTTAAGTCTATTAGGTCATTGTTTTGGTGTTACAGTTCAACACTCTCATCAACATAATTTCCAGCAGCAGCAGCTCTTCATGCCACAGTACCTGCCAGCGGAAAAGAGCTGATAGGAAAAGCAGCTAGCAGTGAAGCATGCAGCTGCTAAAGAGTCCGACCGTTCTCTTGGGATTTAGTGGGAGCCAAAAGCTAAAAGAAGAGTAAATATTCTCTTTACATTCATCGGGTTGCTATCGAAGCACGACTCTGTCTGCTGGATCTGTAAAAAAGCAAATGTTTGCTAACAAGTTAGTTGTGGTTAATTACATTAATACCTTACGTTTCAAATTTAATTAAAGGATTAAATGCATAATCAAATTTTAAGGGAGCCCTGAGACACATTAAAACTTTATAAAGTGGTATAAGTTGTCAGTTTTTTTGTTTTTTTTAGAGCGTTTTCTGCTGAAACCAAGCAGCCCAAAGCCTTCAAAGCGTCTTGCCTTGTGGGAACCGGCTTTTTGTCCCCAGGCAGGCAGCGAGTCCCTACAACATTATGTATGAACACACACATACGCAATTTTCTAAAAACTCTACATTAAGCTTTATGGTGAATGGTTAATGTAAAATGTGTTGTCACATCTTAAATTCACACTGAAGACTCGTATATGTACAATTGTTGTTTTTTTTTTTATTGTTGGCACGTAAACAAGAAACCATTTCTCAGTGGTTTAAAAGGTGCAGGATGGATTAAAAAAAAAAGACCTGAGCATAGAGTGCTCCGTGCCTTTCATTTATGGACAGTTTTTAAGTCCGCATTTTGGGAGAAAAACAAACACATCACGATAAATTACAAATCTGTGTGCAGGTGCACTTTCATGGCAGTCTGTCTTTATCCAGTATCTGTCTGATGTGACATCTCTGCTGCTATTTCATCATTTATGACCTGAAGAAACAACATGAATCAATATTTTTCAAATTGCACTGCCATCCTCCATCTGGAAAATAATTTTCTGATACAATATTGTATTTAAAGAGTGCCGCGGGTGCTGTCAACATCACAGCACCTATTTTTCCTGGGCTTAAAAAAACGGTCATGTCTCTGGGGTACACAGCTCAGGTTAGTAAATCTTTCAAAGCTGTCATGTTGAATTGTCACCTTGTTTTGTGTTTGAGACTCGGCCACGATCCGAACATCTGGGTGCGAAGACGTTTATAGTTTCAGTTTTTAATTAAACTGAAGGGGGTTTTATGAACACTCACCAAAGTCTTGAGTGTCTCTCTTCAGCTCCTCCAGAAACACCACCTTCTTCTTCACCACACAGCCGTAGCTGTAACCTGCAGGAGAGCCGTGAGCTGATATAAATCCAGATGCTCAGGTCACAGATTCAGCCTGAACTGTCACCACAGCAGTGTCTCACCTTTCTCCAGCCCATCCATAACCTGCAGCCTGATGACGTCTCCTTTATGGAAACTGAGCATCGAGCGGTCGTCTGTCACAAAGTTACGCTCTGCAATCACATAATCTGAGTCCTGAGGGGTGAAGAAGACAAACACGCATTAAGGGATGCTCCCATTGTGTTATATGTGACTGTTTTTAAAGCACGTCAGAGGTGTTTTTCTTTTGTTTTTTTGTTTCTTTGTCTTTTCAAGTAGAACTGTAAAAATAACATATTAGTGTTCATATACAGTTGTGCTCAAATGTATTCATACCCTCCCATTAAAGAAGGAAAAAAACAGTTGTCAGTGAAATAAGTTGAAATTGTAATAATAAATAAAGATGTAATGAAAATCATGACATTGCTTTTGAATTGTGGTTCAACAGAAATATTAAAAACAAAAAAAAACAAAACAACAACAAAAAAGAAGCAAACAAGCATGATGGACCCGTGAACTAATATCTTGTTGAACAACCCTTTGAGCCAATCACTGCAATCAAGTGTTTTCTGTAACTCTCAATCAGACCTCTGCACCTGTTGACAGGTATTTTGGTCCACTGCTTATCAGAAAAGTGCTCTAATTTTTCAGGGACAATTTTGTTTGTCTTTTTAAATTATTCTTTTCAACCACAATTCAAAAGCAATGTCTTATTTCACTACATTACAATTTAGCAAATTTTTATTTATTATTACTTTTTTCAGTTTCTAGTTGTTTGAGTGACTTTTGTGAATTTTGCCTTTTTTTTAATGGAAGGGTCTGAATGCATTTGAAGATGACTGTGAGTATACAACAGAAGTGAGTGTATCTCTGGACAATATCACTTAAATGTGAAATAAATCTAAACTGTGTGACCTTACAATAATCAGATTACTTTAAAGTTGAACAGTAGGGTGTTTGCTCTCATGTAAAATTAAAAACTAGTTTAGGTTTACTACAATAAAAGTGTAGGCCCCGGTCATTATGAGATCCAAATATTTTTTCCCAACACTAACAGTGGATGTCCAACTTTATCTTTGATGATCCTCCTCAGCATTGACGTTGGCAAATTTCTGGAGGGGCTGTTTTGCTCTTCCTTTCTCTTTAAAACACCTCAATGATATTGCATTGGATTCCTGTCGGGCGACATACTTGGCCAGGTCATAACTTCACTTCTATCTTCTGGAGAAACTCTTGCGTGATTTGAGCAGTGTGCTTTGGACGGTTATCAGGCTGAAATATTCCTCCTCTGCCAAGATTCTGCAGACTATAACTATGGTCATGCAGTTGGGCTGATTGCAAATCACAGGTGTACCAGCCGTGTGTCAGTGATCACAGGGTTTCTAACCTGTGTGTAGAGGATGATGAGAGGGGGATTCAGTTTTGCTGCGTTGAGTTTCGACTGTGTTTTCATTACAGTTTTCACAAAGTATCTGTTTACAGTTGTCCAAAAAAGGAAATCTTTTTGTCAACTTGCTGTTACGAGGTGATTCAACTTCTGTTGTGTACTGTATGTGTGACTGCTGTTATTGTGTATCTGCCCATCTAAACTGACAGATGGTTTTATAATGCAAAGGAATTGCGTGTTGGCGTGTTTACTGTGCCTTTTTGATCTCATTGATGAAGGTGTCTATGAGGTGTTTGACTTGTGGTGCCTTGGCTGAAAACAGGATCAGCTTCTCGTTGGTCAGATTGAACTCCAGCATGTTCTCAGACGGGATGGTCACAAACAGGATGTCTGCATAACTGCAAAAACAAGCAGAGCAAACTGGAAGTTAGAAACCACGCAAACAGAGGAGTTTGCAAACAAAGACAACAAACAGCACATACGTGTAGGGTCGAAGAACTCTGAAGTAGTCCGGAGCTGCAGCGCTGCTTCTCACAGTCTTCAGCAGTTTAATGCCGCTGTGGGACACCGACAGCACCTGCACACCTGTTCCCACACTACCCTGCACACATATAAAGAAGGACAGCCTCAATAAAAATGAAAATAACACACTCACTCAGTAATTATTTCCCTCTACGGAATCACCAGCAGCACCCTCACCGAGGCGGGGAAGAGCCGGGAGAAGTATATTTCCCAGGTCTCTCTGGCTGCTGTGACAATTGTTTTCTTCACGTGCTCCTCCACTGGATCCACATTCTGTTCAACACCGTGTTTGGCTGTCAAACACACAAACAGACACACAAACTCATGAATGTCAAAGAGATGTGTTTGGATTAGAGCATACAGTCTTTAAAAAAAATGTCTCCAAGAAGAACAGACAGACTACCGAAAAGAGCTTTCATTTTCTGCCTTTCATCCCGCGTGATGCGAACGCACGCCTCTGACAGGGTGTCATTCACTATCTGGAGAACAGAAAAGAGTTGAGAAAAGAGGAAAGGAGGGGAATTGTTAGAAATAATTTAGCTGGATCTTTCTATGATCTTCCCGTTATGAGCAAAGCGTACGGAACACAAATTGGTGAGAAGTTTAAAAAAAAAAAAAAGGGTGAATGAAAAACAAAGTTACCTGTTTGAAAATGAGATCCAGCACCAGAGGATTGTTGAAGCTGTCTTTGGGATAGAAAACCTGTGAAGAAAAAAACAATGCAGAAGAAAACCAACATTGGAGCGGATGATGACGATGATGTCTATTTTTTTTTAAAAGATTTTTTTTGTCTTTATTTAACAGTGATTGCAGAGATGCAGATAAGTAAGGAAATGTGCTGGTTATGTGGTACTAAAAAGCAACCAGAGCAGCCCATGAGGTTTAATATGTGTGTGCACACCTCCTTCCTGAGATACAGCCTCCAGGGAACGTTGGTGTAGGTGTAGTGCTCCTCATTGGTGCTCTGATGAAGCTGCGTCTGGATGGTCTCTGTTTCCACCGGAAGCTCTCGAGAAACTGCATCAAACAGGTCGCATCAGTCAACACACAAAGTCAGACACTGAAAAGACTAAGAAGACCTGAAGAGGTGTCAGCGGTTCTGTCAGGTACAGCTAGGTTAAGCTGCCACCTTCAGCCTGCTAGCATGCTCAAAATGACGACGCTAGTAAGCTGATGTTAAGGAAGAATTCTGCACGAAGACCTAAGATTTGTGCTAAATGCTAAAAAGTCACGTTTTTTTTCCAGATGTAGACTATGATGCTCTCGATTGTTCTATGATGAATCAACGTATGCTTTCAGAATAAATATCTTAATTGATAAGAAATGAGCATTTAAATTAAACACAGATTGGCTATTTCTACTGAAATATAAGCATCTTTCATATATTCTGTTGGGAATGAGTTGTTGAGGTACTTTTTATGTCAGTGTTGGATAATAGAGATGTGATTTAGAGGCATGAATCTTCTTCTACTCTTAAACTTGTGGACCTATCTGTCACTCTGCCTTGAGCTTTATTACTGCTGATGTCAACGGCACTCATCATTGTGTTTTATATGACAAGGTTGAGTGATCTTCTCTCCGGAGGAGACGTGACACTCACTGGTATCTTATATCTATGAAGACCTTACTGGAAGATGATACCATGATTAGACTAACTTCAGACCTGCTCTACTGACTGGCTCTTGCTTCTAGTTTCCTGAATTATATCTAAGCTTGGACAGCTTTCTTTCAATTTTTAGTTCCTGGAAGAAAATACAGGCCCTTCTTAAAATGAGCACACTTCCATCTTTTGAATATTTGAATTTTGAATAAACTGGAAAGGTCGATGGTCTCGTAATTACTTAACTTCACTGTTAGTTTAGAGGATGTTGGCTAATTTTATCATTCTGATGTTGGTGTCATCTTGTTTCCAGAAGTTTAAATGCTTGAATTTCTGAATCTGCATCCGTGTTTTGTTGCCCTCTTGATCTCATCTGGAACGTGCCTTTCTTTTCCTTTGACCGCTTAAATGATCGTAAATGAGCTCTCAGTGTAAACATGGAAATAAGGAAAGTTAATGTGAGACAGCAGCCAACAAAATGACATCTAGTCGATGAATGTTTCCCAGATGAGATCAGGAGGACATTAGAGCAGGTAAACTGGGGCGACCAGGCAGCATAATGACCCTACTAAACTCTCTCGGGATGATTTATTGGATGCTTGGCCTGAGCTGCAAAAAACTCGACAAGAACACCAAACATATTCTGAAGTATATGTTTGGTTTTGTTTTTTAAAATAACCATTTACTAAACAGATTGGCTCCGAGGTTTAGAGAACAGATAAACACATAAAACTAACATATGCGTTGCTGTTTTATCTTTTTGCTCAGTGGATTGTTTTTCCGCTTTCGGAGCAGCGGAGTAAAGAAGAAGAATAAAGCATAAATGAAAAAAATTGAAACCTTCAAAACAAGGCTCTGCGGGCTTTTTTGTTAGGAAGTAAACACATTCCGCATAATGTCGCACACTATCTGTTCTTGAGAGAAGGAGTGGATCTAAACAAACCAGAAATACTCAACAAGATTTCTTTAACTCTGCAAAGTGATTTAGCCTTGGCTATAAGGAAAATGTGGATGAGAAGAGTCTCTGAGTGGCTGTGAGTACCTGGAGGAGGCAGAGGGGGGGGACGATTAGATGCTCTCGTCTTTGTGGTCTTGGTTGGTTTAAAACCCGCCTCTTTCAATGCAGCTGCAGACGGCGAAGAGGTGACAGGACGTTTGGGCTGGAGAGACACAGAAATCGAAGTGACTGATGTCCACGTTGCATAACGCACTGCTAACAATCATCTGTGACTGTGTATTCTAGCATTTTTCAGGCGCTGTGTGTGTGTGTGTTTACCTGTGGAGCAGGAGGGTTGTCCATCTGGGGTTTGAGGATCTGTAAAGCTTCATCACGAGCTGTTTGCTTCTTCTTAAATTTCCCCTCTGGTCTCCTAAATACACCCATACAGTGTCAACATCGCAAATTACAGTTTGCAGGGTTTCTCTACAACAAACATAATGTACTGCATAATCCGTGTTTGTGCTTTTTTTTTATGCGTAAATAAAATCATTCTGACAGTATCTGTTGGCAGTTTGTTTTAGCCTGGGCTCTACAGCTTGCACAGTTAATTCTGTAACTGCAGATTGCATCAACCGTCGTGCCGCACATATAAAAAAAAAGTTTACTGTAATGCTTGTAGAGAAACTGCGGTTTCTAATCTGACTCTTCAACCAGTTAGTCTCTGTGTTTGTGTGTGCGGGTCCTCACCTCTTGCCAGGTGGCAGCTGCTCGGGTGGTGGCGGGGGGGAGTTGTACCTTTTGATGATTTCTTTAAAATGACACATATTAGATTTTCTTTTTTTGTGTTTCAATTGCAAACACTGTGTTAAGAAAATTAAGAAACAACAGCAGAACACACACAGTAAGAAAATGTTTGAGTCATGTTGAATAAATGATGACATTCAGTTTTTTTTTTAGCTGTTAAGTGCAGCTACCTTGGATATCCTGGCTGGGGACGACGTGATCTGTAGCCCGAGCCGAGTATTTCACCACCTCACCAGCAGGGGGCGGAGGAGACATCTCCACTGGAGCTGAAAGACCCACAAAGCACCACAGCCAATAAGTTCCTCTCTGCTGTGTAATGATGTCTTAAATAAGACTTTCAGTTGGAGGGACTTTCTGTTTCTATTTTGCTCACTTGCTCATATTCTCTCTCTCTCTTACCAAATTTCTTGGCTGGTTTGTCCTTGTTTATGGGGATGCCTGGAGCCTTTTTCCGAGAGACGCTGTCCTTACCTGACTGACCCTGAAACAGCCACACAAAGAGGAGAGAGTTTGAACTAAAGATTTTGAAGACATTACATTTGTCTCCTGGGATCCTGCTGCAGAGTTCAGTGTCAGAGCAAATAGGACTTTGACGGTGCTTTGGTTACCGACAACAAACACGTGCGAGTGATCATTTACAATTCTGCATCACTATCTGTATTTTTTAAAGATTTTTTTTTTCTGGCTTCTTGCCGTTATTCGATAGGGGCAGCTGAGGAGAGATGGGAAGTTGAGGAGAGAGAGGGGATGCAATGCAGCAGAGAGCTGGAATCAAACCCTTGTCACTGCAGTAATGACTCTACTTCAGTACACATTGTGCGCAGGTGAGCTTATGAAGCTTCGTAAGACTGGAAACTACTAAATCAAACTATTTGGAAGAAAGCGATGGCTTTAATCAGCAAACATTTATTCCTGCAGACTGCAGACGCTGAGTAATTAACTCAAATAACACTAAGATCAGACCAAAAAAAAAATAGCACCAGACTCGGCAGCTGTAAGAGTCACATCTGCATCACCCCTCAGGCCTGTTCTACTCTTGTTTGAAGATTTTTGTTCCACTTTCTAATACACTTGATTTCCCCTCCAGAGATTAGGCGTAGAAATTAGTATGTTTTCTATTTTGGATCTTTTGTTGATGCACTTTCTGTACAAGTTTTTGCTCAACCAGCTACTGCTCATTATTCTGGCAACACAGCTCTTCTTTTTGCTTCAAATAAACAATTTATTCTTTCCACAAAAAGAAATCCGCATCTCATTTTGTGTTCATATTTTTTCTTGGATGAGCGTTGCTTATTGCTCAGAGCTTACAACAACAACATCTTTCATAAATTCAGCAGTGCAGAATCATTATGCAATGTGCCAGCGTGAGCTATTACCTCACATGTCTCGGAGTTACTGACCTGTGCAGCGGGGTTAGCTGTAGGCTGCGCTGGCTCAGCTTTGCTAGTTTTGGTGGAGTAGGGCTGAGGGTTGGGGCGGGAGGCCTGAGGCTGACTCTGGGGACCAGCAGGATGCTGAGTCTGAGACTGTGAGGGAGTTTGTTGACCAGAGGAAAGATAGGGGCTGGGCGGGATGTCTGCTGCAGCGTAGGGAGTGGGAGTAAAGTTAGCGTAGGGGCTCGGTGGGATGTTCGCATATGGACTTGGAGGTATGACAGCATATGGGCTGGCGGGGGCATATGGGCTCGGAGGGTGATGGAGCAGAGGACTCATGGGAGGGCTTGTGATCGGGGATGTGGGGGGACTCGTCACTGGGCTGCTGACCATGGCCATGGCCTGCATGGTCATCTGCTGAGCCTGAGAAACGAGGAAGTGACGCATTACATCCAAAACAATCACGGTGAAACAGATAAACAGACATGGATCCAAAGTGAGGAGTTACCATGATGATGGCCTGCTGGTTCACAATCGCCTGCTGCTGCTGGGCCAAAACAGCCTGCTGGGCATCTGGAGGAGAAGCACAGTAAACAGGATAGAGGGCTGGAAAATCATGCTTGATGCTTCTTTTTTTTTTTTAACTATCACATTTGTCATCATGCTCGATACGAACCAGGTGTTACAGGTGCCACCGCGGCAACAGGAGGCGACATCACACCTCCCACAGGAAGGACTCTCACAGCTGCGGACACAAACACACACTCGCATGAAATTTTTTGTCAGAGTTTAAGTGTGTTTGTTTTATCACCCGCTAATTGACTGCGAGGACGGTAAAGTGTGAATATTTAGCATGTGTGCTCATGTTCATGACGGACCTCCTGGTGGAAGCGGGGGGCCGGTGGACTGGCCTTGCTGTTGAAAGGCCCCACCGACTCCCCCAGCCCCCTTCATCCTGCTGGACAGTCCTGCAGCTGATTCAAGCTCCTGTGAGAAGAGACAGAGTGGCTTTACAACTGAAATCTGATCACTACATGAATGCAAAAAGGAAGACAGATCAAGCAATGCCCCACTGACGAATCTATATTTTGATCTTAAGTAATGAATGTTCACCTTGTGCAGGCTTGGAAAGATGAGGTTGGGTACTGAACCTCTATACTGTTGATACTGATGGAAGGCTGTCCAATAATTTGTGTTTATTTATGTCAATACATTTTCTTTTGATTGGATGATTTTTGATTTTGAATATTAAGGGGGCAATTTTATTCAGCCAGAGTTTGAGAAATGTTGCTTCTTCTTCGTCTCCTTTAGGCTTTCATCATAAATGTGTAAATTTTTTGAAGTAATGCACTGAACAAAGTATAGTTTGGCATATTTACTAAAGCTCAGGTATAATATCACCACTAACCGCACAAATTCCAACAAGAAGTGCCACAGGCAGCAAGTATCTGGTTCTAAAAAGAGTTCTATATATGTAATTCATATATTTTTGCTCGTAGTGTCTTACAGGGAGATGTGACGTCCAATCAGAGGAATGTGCAGCCGTTCCATCAGAAATCAGCCGCTGACCCATAAATCCACAGGAGTGTGTGTTTGTAGGCCATGTCTCATTAAATAGTAAGCCCTTCATTTGCCAGAGTGTCAGTCGCTCGTAAGCAGATCCCCACGTTGCCTGGGTGGGAAATCACCGTGGCGATCTAGTGGCTGTGACAGTTACGGTAACTGGGTAACGTAATAGGTTGCTGGGTGGGAGAGGTCTGTAGAACACATCTGATACATGCTAATTCCTGTCAGCCACATCCGATAGCACGGCTAACATTCACCACATCCCCGTCCCAGCTGAGGACTGATAGATCCAACGTGGCCGGCGTTCACTGCACCATTGCCCTGACTAAATATGCAAGGATTTAACTCAATCACCAGATAACCAGGGCAAGTACAGTTTTTATCACAGGTGAAGTGAAATGTCTGCGGTGGAGGCAATACCGTAGTCCACATGGATCGGAGAATTAGCAGGTCTTAAAGAAAAGCTGACAGTAAACACTATAGCTGCTGCCTGGTAGATATTTATACTGCCTGTGCTTAAATGTGCAACTAGCAAGCCAAGATAGGTCTGTTTGACTAAAACTACTGCAGCTCCTGTTACACTGTGTCCAGACATGTACATATAAAGCACTGTGTTTGACATAATAGCTGCAGACTCTGACAAATAATATTCCATTTGAAGCTTTCCCTTCAGCACTGAAGGAGACTTCTCTTTCTTTTAATTTCAGACCTTTACTTGACCTACATGGGCACAGAAAAGACCAAAAGACTGACTTCCATCTGAGGCATTAAACTGGAAATAGGACTCGGGTCTGTTTAACTGACTGCACGTGGTGTATGCTAGTGGCAAAATGATAAAAATCTATCTACAATATACATAGAATTCAGATTGTTAATCAGCCTATGAATGACAACAAGCTTGAGCTGGTCGGCCTGCTCAGCGTTAACTCTTAAAAACACAGGGCTTTACAGAGTTTTACAGTAACTAACAGTAAGTGGTTGATGGAGGAGTCTTGGCTCATGTGGCCAAGTGTGTCACAGTGAGTGAATTATATAACTTACTCCAGTTCCATCAGACAGTACGGGGTCAAACAGGCTGTCAAGATAACGATCCATCCCTCTCTGAGGCTCCAAGTCTGAGGGAGAGGAGAGGCGAGGACACGAGAGAGTAGGAGAGAGGAGACGAGACGAGACGAGACGAGATGAGAGGACTTCTGTGTCTGCTCCGATCAAAGTCAGCGTGTGCACTCATACGTTTGCCTTAATGACATACCTTGACTGAATCCATCCGATCCAGGTATGGTGGAAGATATGACATCATCGTTCATATCAAAGCCACCACCCAACAGGCTTCTGTCAAACAAAAACATAAAGCTGATGCTTCAGTTGAACTAAAACCAATCAGGGGTGGAAGAAACACTCCAAGAATTAACATTAACCTGTAATAGCAGATTTTTGGTTACTTTGAAACTGCAGAAACAAGTTATGAACACACCATTAACATGCATTGAACCTGAGAACAGCTGCTCATCTACACATCCAGCACTTCTAAGATACACTATCACTGAGTTGGATTCATGTTTGTGTCCATCTGTCAATGTAAGACCATAAGTCACTCTCATTTAGCTGATATTTTTGTCTGTAACAGCTGCTGAGGAAAATATCTCTTAGCTGGACTCTTTAGCTGTTAAATGCTCCTTTGTACTTAGAAGCTAGTTGTTAACTGTGTTACTCTGACTGATGCTGAGCAGGTAGTGAACAATGCATTTTTGTTGTTGCTGCTGAAAACAGCTGCTTTCTGTCACTGAAAACAAGGCTGCAGTAGTAGTGAAATGAATGAAAACAGAAAGGTTATAGACCAGACAAATAAAGATACTGTAATTCTATGATACCCTCTGTCACATGTCTCAGTTTCCCATTGTCACTTGATACAGAGTTACTGTGACATAATGTCTATAGTTGAATTCTATAGTACACTGGCAAAATGTCCTTAAAGTATAAAAAGGAAAAGAACTCAGCCCTGATAAGTTATCGTATAAAATAGCTGGAGCTATCAAGGTTTACCTACTTTATTTACAGGTAGTTTAGTCAAGTGGTTCCCAACCTCAGGTTCATGTCCCCTTTAAAGGTTCACAAGAAAAACCTGAGGGGTTGTGGGATAATTAATGGGAGAGGAAAAAAAGGAAGTCCACAAATCTGTGTTCATTGTTTGGCTGTTTCCTCTAATCTATGCTTTTTGTGAAGTATTTAATTATGTTCCCTCTTGAAAACTTATTTAAATAAAACGTCTGAGAAGCTTAGAGGGAAAATTACCATTTAGCAGAACTGCTAACAAAAGACATCTGTATCCAGGGGATTTGTCAATCCTTTGGATTTGTCTAAATCCAAGGATTCTTGGCAAGGGGCCTGAGTAGCCACTGCATTTTGGGAAGGGCTTCTGCACTAGTGGATTAAAAGGTTCAGTATTTTGATGAGATGTAGTGGAGTGGAAGTATTAAGTCACATAAAATGGTACAAGTATTTTAAAATGGCATTTATCATCACGGTTTGAGTGAAAGTGCTTAGAAACTTTATACTGCTGAAACCTAGACAGACTCATCCGTCTAATGGCTGAATGGGTTCATGAAATCTCAGTGTGTGTGTGTGTGTGTGTGTGTGTGTGTGTGTCTCACATGCTGGCATTGGGCCGCACTCGGGTTGGCTCCTGTGCAGAGATGATAAAGTAGCTGCTGTGTTTGGGGAAGTCAGCAGGAAGCTCCAAGTCAGACATCAAGTCCAGAACGTAGTCTGAGCCCTCTAGTTCCACCCACTGAGCAGGTTCCTTCAGCAGCACCGACCAGCCTCGACGCCCCTCCACCACACCCCTACACACACACACACACACAGAGTACAGTAGCACATTTAAATGCATTCACGCCAACAAATGAAACATTACAGTTCCAATAATTTATCTCCTTTCATTTCCTTTGTCAGTATTTCTTTGACACCTGTGTTGTAAGATGTTTTTGGCCATCTCTTCTCCAGTCGTCCATGAGTGCAGAGGACAAAGAAAGGAAACACCTAAAGGAGAAAGTAATATGTCTGTATGAAAACAGTTTCTGGCACAAAAACTACAATTGTGAAATGTTTGTTTTATGACAAGAATAATGCTTTAAGAGCCATTTAAGTCGGGTTATGAAATAATTCTTCCAACTCTATGGGTGAAACAAAGTTGGTAGCAGCCTCCCTGATTCATCTATGAGAATTCTCTTAGACACCAGCATCGCAAACAGACACAAGCACAGCTAGTGAACCAGAGCGAGTATCAGGTGTTGTCTAATCCTCTGTGGACTTGCCAAAAGGCCACAGGACAGATTAGCTGGATGAGAGGAGGAAATGAGAGAGAGCCCGATAACTCTTTGGTGCTGAATAGTGCGCACACCGACTGGTCTCAGGTGAAGAAAAATAAAGACAGAGGTGAGGTTGGGTCAACAAGAAGGAGTCGAAGTCAATGGGAGTCAAAATGTACTAAATGAGGTACTTTAGCTCAGTTAATACAGATTGAGACCACTCATTCTAAAGGCTGATAGATAAAGATATAGATAAATGTGATACAAAACCAAATAAACTTTAAATATTTTGCTTCTTATTACTCCTTTTTCTTTAATTTTCTATTCTAAGCAAGTTGCCCTATCGTGGAATGACAAAACTATGCTGTACAATTAGTCATGATGACAGCTAAGTTTAATTAAATTCAAGGTAATTTAATATGCTGACTATAAATGCAGTTGCTGGCTCCATGCTTTGCTCATGTTCACAGCAGATTTTTAAGAAAAAGGTCACTTTGCTCTCTCAC